AAGAGACTGATCCGGTTGACCAATGAAAAGACGTCAGTCTCACTGCGGTGGAAAAAGCAAAATGTTTCTAAATTTGTACCATGTGTGTGTGTGTGTGTGTTTTCTTCCTTGACTTGTGTTCATCGCCAATGTCACAGGGGTCGGCAAGAGCTGTCTACTTCTTCGATACAGTGATGACCAGTTTTCAGGGTCCTACATCTCCACCATCGGGTACGTCGTCCTTCCTTTTTTTTCACCAAAACACTACCAGTATCTTCCACAGATAAGATTCTTGGAGAGATCAGCAGTGAATTAATTCATTGTTTTTCATGATGTATTCTACGGTTCCATATAGCGATAACGTAAACTTGTTCGATTCAAGATGGTTTTGGCTGTTGCTGTTGTTGGTGGTGGCAGTGGCAGTGGCAGTGGCAGTGGTAGTGGCGGCGCTCGTATTTGCTGTCGCTGTTGCCGTTGGTTGTTGTGGTCATCGTAATAGTGCTGATGATGCTGGTGCTGGTTTTGTTGTCATGGTTGTTTTTCTTCTGCTTGCTGCTGATCATGCCTCACACCTGCCCACCACCAAAACAGAGCCGTCGTTTTCGTCTCTGTCGTTATCACACACCTGTGTGTTTTGTCGCACCCCGCCGACTACTGCGTGTTTTTATGGTGAAGGATTGATTTTAAGATCAAGACGGTCTTCTTGATGGGCAAGAAGGCCAAGCTGCAAATTTGGGACACCGCGGGACAAGAAAGATTTCGGAACATCACGTCCGGTGAGAGACGGAGCCGTTTGTCTGTGGTTTGTTGTTGTTGCTGCTGTCATTTGCTACCCATGCCTTCTCCTCGAGACCCCATTGGTGGTCACCACTTGCTCCTTGGTCGGATGGTTGGGTGGTCTTTCTCCACGTTGGTATAATCCATGTCCGAGGTACTTACACACACCTTATATATTAATTTTTTTCTTTCACGCTCAACGGCACGCCCAACGTAACATCTATCCACGCGCTCTGACCCGACATGAATCGGGGTGGTGCTTTGGATTGTTAGGAGGTAATGCTCAAAGAAAACACACGAAGGTGGGGGAAGAGGAAGGCTGCTTGTCTTGCTGTATCATCATCGGCCCTTGCCGAATCGTAAAAAGGTCGCCTCGAGATTCGTCCGTCAGGGTTTCTTTTTTGCTTAAGCGTCTCCGTACAGGTGTCCCCGCTTGTAAGGACAGTCAATCCTGTCTTTTCTCCCAAACAATTGTCCGTGTTGATCTTGAACAACGGCCCAATGGCAGAAGCGAGGCCAGCAACGAGGACGACCCCCCCCCCCCCCGCCACAGGAGCGCAGGGCTAGAGGTTAGAGAAGTATACACACGTGCACTAATAGAACGGTGTCCACGTTGGTTATTCCGCAGCTGCTAGACTGTGGTCTTTTCATTGGTCAGCCGGAAAACTTTGTACGGTGGTGGACCCTACTTCAAGGCAGTGTACCCCCCCGTACAATCAAAGCGTAAACACACCTCCGCCTGGTTGTGCTTGCTGTCTCTCTGCACAGCATACTACCGAGGGAGCATGGGCATCATGCTCGTCTACGATGTCACTGATGTGAAGTCGTTCAGAAACGTCGGCAACTGGATGCGCCAGATCGAGCTTAACGCCGCTCCGGACGTGAACGTAACCTTGGTGGGGAACAAGAGCGACGTGGCAGAAGCGGAAAGGGTGAGTCATGCATGACGGCTATTGTTTTTCAGTCTTCATGTGGTATGTTTGGGGTGCCGAAAGGGCGTGCGAAGACTGCGGCATGCATGAGGCGACAGCAATAGCGTTCCGTGCACATGTCCTCGCCAAAGCCGGAGAAACACAAAATGAATGCAATTGAAGTTAAACAACTCTCCCGTGGGTATTTTGTTGACTGCCTGGCAGTGGTAACAGCAATGCCAGCGTTTGCGCTCTGTCAGAGGTTCCGCAGAGACAGGGATAGCGATATATATACAGAGAGAGAGGGAGAGAGGAAAGCGTAAGGATGTACATAATTTTTGAAGCAAGGGCCAATCTTGGGGCAGCGGAGTCGCAAGTCGATAAGATCCATATTTTTCCTACTACTCCTGGGTGCAAAATCCGTACATATGTAAGAACGGCTTTTTAATGTGAAGACAACAGCAACAGCAATACCGACAACAACAATGTAGCAGACTGTGTGTGGGTAAACGTCTTGGCATCCACCCACGTGTGAGCATGAGAAACAAGCTTGCAGGCAATAGGTCTCCAGTTTGGCACACGCACACGTGTGAGCCGGAGAAACAAGCTTGCAGGTACTGAGTCTCCAGTATGGCACGCGCACACGCGCGAGCCGGAGAAACAAATTTGCAGGTACTAGGTCTCCAGCTTGGCACACACACACGAAGACGACGATGGAGGAGGAAAACATGGAGGAGTGGAAAAGAGCAAAGGGTTTGAGCCAGATGACCTTCCCCAAAACAAAAGACGCAGGGCTAGGGAAGAACCGCCAAGATATTGTTGTCAAAATGATGGTCAGATTGATGGTAGCGAAAACAAGGAGGATAATGGTGAAAGTACTCCTAACGAACCAGAGCACAAGGTAATAGCCTTGGGAGACGCGTGCAGTTTTCTTCTGTTGCTACCGTTTCTGTCTTTGATCCGAAGGATAGTTTAGCCTCCCCCATGCTGCCCCCTCACGGGGTCCCAGTTCATGGCAGATAGAAGTGTTTTGTGTTTTCAACCGCACTAAGACTGACGTCTTTTCATTGGTCAGCCGGTTAGCGCGGTCGATGCTAACAATAAAAAAAAACACACACACACACACGTGTGAGCTAGAGAAACAAGCTTGCAGCAGACTCACTCCCACCACGCGACCCACCGCACGACGCTTGGTGGCCTTTTCGGAGACACCACGTGACGTAATATATCACCTCCCCCTGGGCCGGTATTTAAAGCTCGATGTATGACTCCACGGCAGGAGAAAAGTTGCGGTGCAGAAAGTAGAGGCGTTGGAGCCGTCTGGTCGAGAGATAGCTTTCCAAAAGCGTGCAATCGTTTGGTTTGTTCCTCCTCCTTACGGTGGAGTAGTTTTGTCCAGCTTTGAAAATCGGTTCCAGGGGGGGGTGACATCACCTGCGGTACATCGCGGTAAGGGGCTCCGCGTGAGGGTTTGACGTTGCATTTATAGGGGTGCTATCATCTCAAATCTCCCCTTACCACCCCCCCTCCCTAGCCTGGTACGGTTTCGGCGTGCCCCGTCCCGGCTTTGCAGGGGTGTGATGTGGTCAATGGTCTAACGTCAACGGCATGCACGGCTGTGATTACCCCCCGCCCCGCCGCCGCTCGCCCGTTCTTAATTTTTTGTGTCCGTCGTTTCCGGAAAAGGTGGTATCTTTCGAGCAAGGCCAGAGGTTAGCGGCTGAGCACGGTGATCATGTACGCTTCTTCGAAACCAGCGCACGGTCTAACGTGAACGTGACGGAGGCGTTCGAAGGGTTGGCAACAGACGTTATCACCCGGTAAGCCGCGAGAGAGAGAGAGAGAGAGAGAGAGAGAGAGAGAGAGAGAGAGAGAGAGAGAGAGAGGATAGCAGGAAACAAACCGAGACTTTGTGATTCATGTCTCCTTCTGCCTCCACCCTAAATACGAACGAATCGTTCAAAATCTACAATAACATAAACCCTTAAAGAGAATCCCTCAGCTTTCGAGCTTTGCAAGGCTTCACTGTACCGAAACTGAGGCACTTGGGCGCTTTTCCTATTTTTCGACAGAGAGAGAAGAGACGGGCTCTTGTCAGCCTCGAGCTTGGCAAAAGCTTTCACTCTCAGCCGTAATTGAGGTACCTGGCGCTTTTCCTTATTTTCGACAGATATTTACGTACCTTTCGACAGAGCAGAGATGGGATCTTGTCAGAGACCGTCGCCGGGGTGATCTAGTGGGTACAGTAGCCTCACAGAAAATGGCGGGCCCGGTTTATTGACCCCTTAGTGTCGGAGGGGACATGGTCGCTATTTAGGCCGGGTCATCGTTATTGCCGGTGTACATGCGGATATTTGTCGGGGTGTTGCCATGCGATTTTGTGGTGTCTGCGCAGGGCATGTCGCTGAACAGGGGGGCCGGGCCCGCACTGCTGTAAACCTACTAGCAGAGCGTTTGGGTTCGAATCCCACGTTATGTAGACCCCCGCCGACTTGTGAAGCACGCTAAGAACCGTTTTACTAGAGAAATTTCGGCGTTCTTGTCAACGTTTCCGCCCCACGGCTACCAGTGTTGATTCCAACGACGATTGTTTGGTGACACCACCCCCGTCTCCTTCTTCCCCAATCACGCTGTACTCGTGTACCTCAGGCTGCAAACTCAAGATGAAGCCAGCCTTGCCAGAGTAGCGCCGTTAAAGCTAGGACAAGAAGAGTCCACAGAAAAGTCCGACTGCTGCTAACGGGGAAGGGGAAGTTGTAGCTGGGCTCGTTGGCTGGGCGTGGGTGAATCGAGTCAAGCCAGCCAATCAGCTTGTCGAGCAGAGCATCCGCGGACCGTCTGCTGCAGAGAGCGTCTTGTGCCGGTGTTTTGAGCCGATCCGATGTCGGCCCTCGAATGGAAGTATTTGCCTGAAGTGACACAGAAGTGAACCTGTCCCTTGAGGTTGTTGTCGTCGTTGTTGCTTATTGTATACAGTTACAGTACACTGTAGCGCCGCAATTTTAATAGCCTCTAGTTTTTGCCGAGGTTGGACCTCTTACTTCCTCTTGTGGGCTACAAATGGCCGTCCATATCTGTCAGTGTGGGGGTTCTTATTCTCACGAATTGTGCTCGAGTTTCTTATCCGAGCTCACGAATTGTGCTCGAGTTCCTTATCCTAGCTCACGAATTGTGCTCGAGTTCCTATAATTTGAGTTCTTGGAGGCTCAATTTCTTAACTGCCAGGTTTTGAAGCGCGAAGGCTAACTGTAAATCGTTTTGCTTATGAGGCAAACGAAGGGGGGAGGGAAGGGAGGCAGAGATTTTGTTTCTTGCTCCCCGCCGAATCATTGACGCCGGGCTTTCTTGTTGCCACTCTTTGTTGATATGTTCACGCTATCCAGTAAACCCTCGGGTCTATCGTGCTGTATTCTCTTGTATGTACTAACCGCAATAGGCCGGGTCCCCACAAAATGTTGTGGGGGAAGGAAACAACGTGAGGCTTTTCGGGCCTCGTCCCATTTTATTTTGTTTTCATGCCTTTATTGTCGCATCTCTATGGTGTTCCAAGAGCTCTAGATGCATTCGCCCGGGGCGGGGGGGGGGGGTCACTAGGGCGGTCCTATGCAGTACACGCCCCCGACGACGTGCCTGGCCTTCCGATGTTTTTAATTTTTGGAGCCCCTGCCGCATGCAAGCGGGTTCAGTTTCTGATGCGAATAAGAACATTCGGCTGAACGATTTTGAGGACGATTTTCGACCCCCGTTTGTGCGCCCCAGTCCTATCCTGTACACGTCCCATGTGGTTTGAGACCGGGCCGTTACTCTGCACGCCTTCCAATAACCACTTGAGTTTGTCACCGAGTCCATGTTCTAGCAAGACTATTATTTAGATTGGGTGGGGTGCGTTCACAACTTTCGCGTGGGGAGGGTAGGAACGAATAGCTGCTGCAAGCGTGCTCACCCTTCGTGCAAGGTTGGGATCGACCCCCCCCCCGTCCCCCATGAGGCCGGTGGCCAGAATCCGATGTTGTGGATGTAGGGTGATGCCATGACGTTTTCGTTGTTTCTTTGTGGAGGAGGTTGTGAGGTGCAACAACTTGTTTACGTTGTACATACACATGTAGACTGGGATCTCTTTCTCTCACTTTGGTGCGCGACGGAGGAACGTGTGTTGTTGAGGGTACGTGGCGCAAGCATCACGCACCGTCGCAGGCATTGTGTGGTAATTGCTGTGTACGACGATGGTAGATAGTGGAGACCAGGAGTGACAAGCGTCGTTCGTTGTCGTCGTCGTGTCGAAGTTCCATGGAGTACGAGAGTCAGAAGCACTGACTGGACAATGTGCCATGTGGGAGCGTGATAGGAAGGAGAGGGCAATACCAAACACTCATAGCACGGGAGTGCACATGGTACTGCAAAGCACTGGACTGGTGAACGCCTGAAGCTTTATTGAATTGTGCGAATACTTTTCAAGAAGAATGACATGAGGGGAGGGTGTGGTACCTAAGGAAGTAAGTGGAGTAGGCCGAAGACGGTGCACGAAGAAACAAAGCAATGAAAGAACAGTTGGCAAATTACTGTAGGTCGCGTGTGTGCATGGCACGACATCCCCCGGGCCGGTTTTCTTTCTTAGACAGAAACTGCCAAGGAACGGATAATACAAAGATACCGCATGGATGCGAACATGCGCACTTCCTTCTGGTATACCACTATGTATAGTTATAAACTCCAAAACCTCTGTCCCGGTACATCAAAAATTAAAATTTGCCGACAAAGGGACGGAAAAAAACTCTTCCCTGCCTGGTAGGACGACGACTTTCTTTCCAGCTGCTTTCCAAAGACAAAACGCAAAACGGAAACCCATGGAGTAACTAAAGCACAGTCCCTGAGCCAGTGTGTTCGCGGAGTCACGCATGACTTCCCTGGTGTTCTTTTGATTCATGAGAGCGACGAGGGGGCGCGAATGAACCACCACCATAGGCGGGCACAGCAGTGGGGGGGGGGCACGCAGATGTTACAGCTGGACATGAGGAACATGCGACGGGGCGGGGTGCCGTTGATGACCTTAACGACCAGTCCATCGAATAGCCCATCGGCGACGTACTTGACTATTCTCAAGACGTACTTTCGATCAACGAGCGTGGTCAACAACAACAGCAACCACGCCCTACCGAGCATCTTGGAGGCCACGAAGGGCACAAGCGCTATCATATGGCTACCATGAACGCCATGTCAAGAAAGGGAAAGTGGACGGTGCGTCTGCGGTCGCGCGTGTAGCGCGTTTGGTGCCGGGGTGCAAGGGATGAGTCAAGACACGTCAACGTGTCCTTGTACCTGGTACCGATTTGTGCGGACACAAAATGGGAAGGCCGAGTGGGTAGGCGTGCGCGCGCTGGGTGGGAAAGGGTGGAGAGCTGGGAGGCATCCCCTCTGCTGTGTCTGGAGGCCCTGCATCGATTGGTATCTCGTCGTCGGCGGTGTGTGGCACGCCCGTTTTTGGCTCTCGTTTTGTCTCTAACACCATCACACCCTGTCCGTCTCTCTCTTTACATCTCTCTCTCTGTCCGCCGCTCTCTCTCTCTCTGCTGCCGTGCGTTTTTTTCAACCAAAAAAAAAAATCAACGCAAACAAAACAGAGCGAGGAGGAAGCTCTGACGGCAAGAATAATCCACTACTTCAGCCTCGGCGTGCTGCAGCTGCCGGACGGCACGACCCTGCGCGCCTACCTCGCGCAGAAGCTGGACTGCGACCCGATGCGGATAACCAAAAAATTTACCGGCACCAATTGCCTTGGGAAGCGGGTCTACCATTCCTGCGAACGAACTACCGCGACATACGAAGTCGCCAAGCAAGCAGTGGAGGAACTGGCAGAGCTGGAAGCGAGGTTTCAGGCCAGGCTAGAACGGAACAAGGAGAAGCGCACGGGAATATTGGGGATAGAGGTGAGCCGCTGGCGTTCAGGAGGCCATCGGTATCTATATTTTTGTCTCGTGTGTACAACAACACCCTTCTTCTCTCCTCGATCGAGAATATGTTTTTTCGGCCTTGGGGTTGTTTCATCGTTTCAGCACACCAAAACAGGGTAAGATGGAGAGCTTGAAAAAAAAAAAATGGAAAATCTAGTCGAGATCGAAGGGATCGACGCAAGTGACGCAGACAGCGTGGGACGGGTAGCGGAGAAAGATAGAGCGCGAAGCACGTCGCGGACAATGCGAGAGGGCTTGATGGTGTGGGTTTGGCGGCTGATGCTGCCTGGCATGTGTGGAGGGCGGAGAGGGGGGGGGGTGGAGATACGAGAGAAACCATGTGAGACTTTGCAGAGACAGGTAGTTCCACGTGCGCCACGACGTTGACGTGGTGTGGGGAACAGGTTCAACGTGAACAAAAAAAAAAAACACTCTTCTTCTTCCTTCGCATCCATTGTATGATATCATCGCCACGGCTCACACGTGCGTACTCGTGTGTCTGTTGGGCTGCGAAGCGTAACAATTTTTTTTTTCGCACCCAATACCGGGGTGGCTTGTGTGGTGCTTGTGGTTTTCTTGGTGAGGCAACCTGCATACTCGCACCCGCTTCGCAAGCGGCCTCTCCTCCCCCCCCCCCGTTAGGGTGGCAGAGGAAGAGCAGAGAGTCTCGTGGGAGCATCCCGGCGCATGCGCTGTGTTTCGGGTCATTTTTTCTTTTCTTTTAGCTGTTCCGTGCCGCTCCAACAACTACAACACTACAACACATACGTTTGATGACTCACCGCTGTCGCAGCTTCAATACACGGCAGCGAGAGAGAGAGAGAGAGAGGGGGGGGGGTTCTTTCCGTGCACGCGGAGAGCGCGCTGCTGCCACACATGAGTCTCTGCCGCTGCCGCGGCGTGTGTTCTCTCGCTTGCTTCTGGTTTCGGGTGGATTTATCTTTGCAGTTCAAGGTCGAAAACGGCCGATGACGCCGCTGCTGTTGTGGTGTGTGTGTTCATCCTGGTTTTTGTGGCAGGATATGCACACAATTTACACACCAAAACACTCTATTTAGAGAGCGAGAGATTCCTCTAGACTGCACCACCCTTGTCTTGTTGAAACGAAAGCGGTGGCGAGGGGGAGGGATGGGCTTGCTATGCGGCCACAGCGGGCGGGTGTGGTGAACCGACTGACGGGGTCTCAGCTCGTTCGTGGTAAGGTTGAACTTGGAAGCTGTCATCAAGGCAACCAAAGCAACCAAAGCGTAGAATACATAACCGGCACTTTTTTTTCAGGGATTGATTGGTAGTGCACAATACAAATCTTCATCTCGTGTGTGCTCTCTACATCAGCTTCTCTAAACCACCTTCAATACGATACCGAGGTTCCTCTTAGAGGACCAGCACCGTTCCCCGGGGCAAGCTGCTATTATCACAATACGAAAGGGTCTCAGCTCGCGGTGACGTTGAACTTGGAAGACTCTGAAATTTTGATTTTTCGAAATATTTGTTGTCTCCTCTACAGCAGTATCTTCACATCACAAACGTTCCGGTCTCCGCTCAGCACCTTCTAACCCCCGTACCGGTCTAACGGACGCGGACACCTTCCGTGGTCACGGGTCAACTACCCTAAAAGGGTACACGGTAGAATTGTCTACACAACCTTGCTTGGCTTACATGCAGCTAGAGATGAAACGAAAATAAATAAAAGGACCGAAAATTCCTCCGAACGCGATGAGTAGTGAACGAGAAAGATCCTTCGGGCGCCAGCAATGTGCGTCTGTATCTTGCAGCGGCATCCATTCGGGCATAACAGCAGTAGAGGCGGTACAGCAGGGGCAAAGCATGAGCAGCAGAAGGAAGAACCAACTCAGCCTCTTGGAAAAAGTAACCCGGATTGTCGCCCACTCACAGCACAGACTTCAACACCCCCGCTTCGACTACTACTACTGCTGTGCGTTATCTCGGACGGGTACTGCTTCACAGTTATATACAGCAGTAGTCCTTTTAGAAAAAGTCTCGCTGTCACTATAGATTGTGTCATGCAAGACAACTCAATCAACCTCTGTAGAACATGCTGCGGTACGAAGGATACAACGAACTGTTGTCATGATGTTTTACTTGACTGCGTTGATCTGACTTTTTTTTTTTTTTCCTCGTCCTCGAGAATCGGTTCCAGTATCTTACATCTATATGTGTGCACCTTCGAGAGCATAAAGTACAAAGCACTGCTGCTGTGGCAAGCATGATACAAAGCAAGAATAAAAAAAAAAGAGACGACGTCCTTTTGTGTAGTATGCGATATTTCTGCAAAGGACTCTTTAATCATGTGCGTCTGTATATACCGTATATGACACAAGATAACACACCCCCTGGACCGATTTTCAAAGCTCGATTACTCCACGACGAAGAGGATGCATAAATGAAACAATACGTTTTCGAACAGCTCTCGACGAGACGGTTCCAACGCCGCCGTTTTCGGCGCTGTGACTCTTCCTGCTGTTGAGAAATCGAGCTTTGAAAATCGGCCAAGGGGGTGTGTTATCTTGTGTCATATACGGTATTGTATGCGAAAGCGATATGCTTGCTTGTAGATAACCACAAGAAGAACATAACACGTATCCCAACAGACTTGGAGCAAACTGGTGGATGCGCTTGTAGGAAAACGACGTACTGCTCATGCCAAGTATGGTGTCCCTTGTGTGATCTACAGCTCCGATTTCAGCAGTTCCGACTAATTGTTGTCTCGTAGTCTGGTCGCCCGTAGAACACCAGTCGCTCCATGAACAGTTTTTTTTGTTTTTCCTTTTTTTTAGCGTCGACGCTTTCAACGAGTTGGACTCATCCATTTTCCCTCTCGCTCTCTGGAATCCACGTATTGGCGGGAGAAAAGATGATGTAGCGATGATACTTGTTGGCATTGAGTCGGTAGAACCGTTTCACCAGAAAGAAGCGTGTTCGTTCGCGTTTTTCTTTCGCTGCAAGATTGACGATATCTTGTCATTGATCAGCCGGTTAGCGCGGTCGATGCTATACTGTTGTACTTATACAACCTTTGTTTTTTTTTGTTTTTTTTTGCAGGCGCGGCTTCTCGGAAACCGCCACCCCAGCATCGACGCCGCGGCCATCGGCGGCGACGGTGCCGGCGGCGCGTCTTCGGGGGTGGGGGGCTCCGCCATGCACGCGTTCGGGCAGGGGGGGATGGTGACCCAAGGTGCCGCGGGGGGCCCGTCATCACAGCAGCAGCAGCTGCAGAACGAAGCGGCTGCGGCGGCAGTAGCGGCGGCTGCGGCGTGGAACATCCCGCTCTCGCAGGGCTACGCCACGGCGGCGATGCAGCAGCAGCAGCAGCAGCAGCAGCTGCACCACCACCACCCACAACATCACAGCCAGGCGCGCGCGGCGGCAGCGGCCGCGGCCGCCGCGGCTGCGTATCACCTCCCACAGCCGCCGAGCGTGCCGGCGGGCAGGGCCGGACACCACCACCACCCCGGGCACCTCACGGCGGCGGCGCTGCAGTCGCACCAGCTACAGCAAGCAGCCGCGTACTCGAGGTCCCAGCAGCAGATGCAGCAGCAGAGCCAGGCAGCGGCGGCAGCGGCGGCAGCGGCGGCCGCGCAGGCGCGGTTCTCCCAGTTCGCCTCCGCCAACACGGCGCAGGCGGGGAAAACACCTCCCTCTACCAGCCCCAACAACCCGGCTTCGCCTCCTGCCGCAGACGCGGCAGCAGCAGCAGCAGCATCAGCAGCATCATCAGCAGCAGCAGCAGCAGCAGCAGCGCCGGCGGCTGCAGCGTCCGCGCCGGGGGCAGCAGGAGCGCCGGCGCCTGCCGCGGCGTCATCACCGATCGAGCGAGGAGAGGGAGGAACAAAGAGATCGCCAGAGATGAACGGCGGCGGCACTTCCTCGCGGAACTCCGGGGGAAGCACCACCAAGCACAACAAGAAGCAGCCGGCGGCGGCGGCAGCGGCGGACGCTTCCGAGCGATCGCTAGGGAGCGACAAGAACTCCTCGGCGAATCCGCCCCCCCCGCCGCCGCTCCCGCCGCCAGGGCTGGGCATCGCGCGCGCCACGTCCGTTTCGGCGGGGCTCCGGCCGGGCCCCGGCGCGGGGCCAGAGGGCGGCATCGGAAGCGCGGGCGCCGCCCGCGCTCAGGCTTCGTACCTCTGCACACCCTCCGGGCGGACGCACAACCCGTACTGGTCGTACCACCCTCACCACGCGGCGGCGGCGGCGGTGGCGGCGGCGGCGGCGGCGATGGAGCAGCAGCCGGGGAGGGGAGGAGGCGGCACCGGCGCCGCGGGCGCCCCGGGCGGGTACATGGATTTCGGGGCCGCCGCGGCACACGGGTATCACCCGTCCCACGCGCAGGGCGTGGCCGGGTTCCCTCACCTTGGGATGTCACACCCCATGCAGCAGCTGTGGCTGCACCAGCACTACGCCGTGGGCACCGGCGGCGCTGGTGGCGCCGGGGCGGTAGCAGGCCGGGGAAGCGCCGCGGCCGCGGCGGCGGCGGCCGGGGTAGGGCTTCCCCCGTGGCAGCAGCTGCACCGGCACCAGCAGATGCAGATGCAGCTGGCGCGGCACGCGGCGGGGCAGTCTGGCGTGGCGGTGATGTCGGCAACGGCGGCAGCCGGCGGCGGCAGTGCTACCAACGCCAACAACGCCCCCCGCTGTCAGGCGCAGCTTCAGCAGCTTCAGATGCCCGCCGGGTCAGGCACCGTGAGCAACAGCAGCGGCGGTGGCCAAGCAACGATGAGGGTGGGGTTCCCGGGCTCCTCCTCCCCCTCCTCCGCGGCTTCCGCCTCCGCTTTGCCCCGCAGCAAAGACCCCAAACACAACCAACAGCAGCTCCGGAAGGCTGTTCGGTCGGCGTCCTCTTCGCCCTCGTCGTCGTGGCGTTCGTTCCACGACGGCGGCGGGGAGGGGACCGGCGGCAGCGGCAGCGGCAGCGGCAGCGGCAGCGGCAGCGGCAGCGGCAGCGGCAGCGGCAGCGGCAGCGGCAAGATGAGCTTCGCCCGCGTGGTGGCGGCGGCGGCGCTTCCCTCGTCCTCGGTGCGCGCCGGCGGCAATGGGAGCGCTAACGGCGGCACCGGCGGCGCTTCGTCGGCCGACGCGGCCGCCGTCGGCAGCGCCGAGGGCGACACGGTGCCGTCCACGATGGCCTCCCCCAGCGAACTCCAGCAGATGTACAAGAAGGCCGAGGGCGTGGGGGTGAGCGGCAGCTACAACGGCCGCGGCAAGAACGGCCGCCGCAGCCGCAGCAACAGCCACAACCACCACCACCGCCACGGCAACGGCAACGGCAACGGCAACGGCAACGGCCAGGACGGCGCGAACGCGGCGCCCTCCTCCCTGGCCCGGAGCGGCAGCAGCGCCCGCGACACCGCCAGCAGCGCCGGCAGCAGCATGGGGAACACAACCGCCGACGGCACGTCCTCCGTCGCCTCCATGTCCGGCGTTAGCTCGCGGACCGGTTCCGGCGTGGGCTCTTCCGGTGCCGGGTCCGGCTCCGGGGGATCCGGCTCCGACGAGCGGGTTAGCCGCGCCAACAGCACCAGCAGCAGTGTCCTCAGCGGGAGGAGCTCCAAGGGCGGCGGTAAGGGGGCGACGGGGGGCCGCGGCGGCGGAGGCGGGGGCGGGGGCGGCGTCAGCGGCTCTTCGGGGTCGACGTCCGGGAGCGAAAGCGGCAGCGAGGTGAGAGTGAGAGAGAGAGGCGTTGGCTGTTAAGTAGCTGCCGTTGTTGCTGTTGCTGTTGCTGTTGCTTCTGCTGCCGTTGCCGCTGCTGCGTGATGGTTGTAGAGGCACTGCCGCTGCTGCTGCTGCTGCTGCTGCTGCTGCTGCTGTTTCGTTGTAGAGTCAGAGAGATGTTTTCCCAGTTGGTTGTACGACTGATTCGTTTCCCCCCATTTTTTTTGTGTATTGATTGTCTTTTCTTTGGTGGCCACCACCCGCCCACTCAACAACACCACCGCGTTTTTTTTTATTCTTTTTGTCAGGGGACCGAGAAGATGGGTTCGCCGCAGCAGACATGTGCCGACGAGTTCCCCAAGAGCACCGGCGGTTCAGCTTCGGGTTCGCCACGGGTGGACATCGACGGCGCCGGCGGCTTGCTCATGGGCTTCGTGGAGACGCTGACGAAGCAGCACCGCCTCGACCAGCAGGCGCAGCAAGCGCTTCTTCGAAGCGGCGGCGACGGCAAGACGTCGGAGGCGACGGCGGCGCCGGCGCCGGCGCAGCGGGCACTGCCAAAGCTCCCGCGGGTGGCGTCACCGCAAACCGGGGAGGGTGCAGAGGGCGTCAAGCGTGACAGCAGCAGCAGCAGCAGCAGCAGCAGCAGCAGCGGCGGCACGCCGCGGCCTTCGGAGCAGCCTCAGCTACAGCACCAACCGCAGCACCAACCGCAGCACCAGCAGCAGCAGAAGGGGAGCCCTGGCGGCTCGCACGCGCACCCGCGCCACCGGCACAAGCACGCCGCACGGATGGAAAAGACGGCGCGGCGTTCTGCCGCCACCGCTGTTGTCACCGCGCCGGCCGGCGCTAGCCCGACACGGGCGGCGGTCAACCCCAACGAGGTGGCAGCGGCAGCGGCAGCGGCCGGCGGTGATAGTGACGGCAAGAGCTCGCCCACCACGACTTCCGCCGCAGCAGCAGCCGGCTGCAAAGCCAAGCGCGTCGTCGGGGACGTGACCGCCTTGCAACGGCCGCAGAAAAGCGGCGGTGGCTGCGGCCCGTCGCCGGTGACAACCAGCGGCGGCCGTGGCGGCGGCGGCGGCGGCGGCGGCGGCGGCGTCTACAAGCGTAGGCGCGGGGATTGCACCGGTAATGGTAACGGCTTGGGCGAGAGCAGCAGCGGGGGCAGCGGCAACGGTAACGTCGGCGGCGGCGGCGGCCTCGTCAGCCGCCGCGCCCGCGGTGCCGTGGCCCCCCCGCCCCGCCCTGCTCCCTCCCCGTCCGTGGATCACGCGGAGCGCCGGGCGAGTGGTCTCAAGCGGCGGAGAGACCAGATGGCCGGCGGCGGCGGCGGCGGGCCTCCCCGCAGGCCGCGGAGAGAAGGCGGAGAGGCGGACGTCGACGACGGCGACATGGACGAGAGCAACAGCGAGTCCGAGGTCGGCGGGGGCAACTCCGAAGAAGGGGGTTACGAGGAGGACGGCAGCGGGTGGGGGAGCTTCGGGAAGGACTCGGGCTCCGCCGAGGAGAGCAACGAGGCCAGCGAGGGCGACTACGGCGGCGGGGACGAGCGCTCAAGCTCGTTCGAGGAACGGTACTCGAACACCAGTGGGGGGTACGGGGGCGTTTCCCCTATCCTCGAGAGCAAGTCCAGCGCGAGGGCGCAGCAGCGGCAGCAGCGGCAGACGAAGACCGGTGAAGCGGCGGTGTCTGAGAGCGCTGTCCGGCAAAGGGAGGCGATGGCGGCGTCGGCATGACATACGGACCGACCGCTTTTGTTTTTCTTGTTTGTTTTCGCAATGCACGCCGCGCCGCGCCGCGCCATTCCTTTCGCTTTTCTTCTTCAGAGGGGTGTCGGTTGGCGTTGTAGGAGTGTATGCAAGCCGAAAAAATGCCTAGCTTCCAAGTTTGTTGAGATTGATCGACCAAAAGCGCCGGTGGGACGGCCGAATGGGAGTAGAGGGCGTGGGCGTTGACTTGTAGGGTTGGTTGGGAAAGAGGGGGGGGGGGGAGAGACCCACACGCATTTGCGGAACAACACACACGTGGCAGAAGGGACAGGGGTTGGTCGAAGTGTATCGCTAAGTCGGAGCGCAATATCGGTATCTGCGATTGGTTGTGGTGGACCGGTGTGCTCTGTTGAAAGTGGTGGTGGATTTGGTTGTTTTTTCCGTTGCTTTTTTTATCGGTACTACTACCCTCCCTCTATCTCTATCTCTCTCTCCTTGTGTCTCTGTACGTCCACCCCTTTGTGCATAATAATGAGTCGGTCGGCCTCTCTGGCCCCTATTTGTGGTTGTAATGTATGGCCAGGAGGGAAGGTCCTGAACATTCGGAAGGTTTCTACCCGCCCTTCGTTCCCTTTTTTTGTAGACACGACGCTCGGCGTTCTTGACTCATCATGACGGGGGACAAAACACAGGTGGCTGGGGGGAGCACGTTTGAACCTAAGCTTTGGTGAGAGACACACAACAGAGAGAGGAGGGAGAGAGAGGCCACAATCGGTCGTGCCGCAGACGTACCGGTCATGATGTTGCTCGTGAGATGATGCGTTTGGTGTAAGGGCGGGACGATGATCATAGGGTGTTGAGCCTGGAAAACCGACCGGTGAGTGTGTGGTGGTAGTAGTTGTTTCTTCTTTTTTTTGCATATCTTTTTGGGTACAAGTAAGTATGTATGACGACGACGATTGATGATGATGATGATGAGATGGTGGTGGTGGAAAATGTGGTGATGGTTGGTTGCGCTCCGTCGAGTACTTTTGTACATATGCATACATACACGCGTTGATGAAAGCATGTGTTCATTATTATTCCTTTCCAAGAGGATATCAACTGCCTAGAGAGAGTAGAGGGTCCGTTCGAAATTCCAGCAATCACCTCGCAA